CGAAAGCCTTCTTACAGCCCAAGAAAATGCAATCTATGCATCCCATTCTCTCTCTATCTCTCCTGCCTTATTTATGTTACCTTGTGTGTGTGTGTGTGTGTGTGTGTGTGTGTGTGTGGTTGTGGGGTGTGTGGTTGTGGGGGTGTGTGTGTTGTGTGGATGTGTGTGTGTGTGTGTGTGTGTGTGTGTATGCGCCAGTTGGCGGGCCATTAATTCCTAATTACTCAACTACAGTGGTGATTCTGGAGTGCCATTGTTGCTCTGATGACCCTCAACTAGAGGGAAGGCGTGTGGGGAGAGGGGAAGTAGGTAGTCAAGGGAGAGGAAGTGGGAGGAAGGGAAAAGAGAATAAGGAAGGGAGGGGAGGCAAGAAGTGAGGGAAGGGGAGAGGATAATGAAGGTAGGGAAGATGGGAGTGAGGGAGATTACGAGATGTGAAGAAAAGTAGAAAAGCGAAAGGGATAGAAATGAGGAGAATGGAAAGGGAAGAGATGAACGAGAGAGGCAAGCAAAGTGAAATGGGGAGGAAATGAAAAAAAAACAGAAGGAAAGGGAAGAGAGTGAACAGGAGGAAGAGGATGAAAAGGAGGAGGAGGAGAGTGTGAGCAGGCAATTCTAAAACCATGTGGTGTGAGTAGCACTTGAGAAAGAATTAACAGCAAGAGAGAAGCTGCCTGCTACTCCAGCTGACAGGGAAAGCACTGAGAGCCTCTCACAACACAAAACAACAACAGAAGGTTTTTGTTTCCCAAAGTTCACTCTTGTCTTTGTTGGGTCTGGATGTGCACCCCAGGACAAGACAATGAAGTTATTAAGTGATATGAGAGGTGGACAATGTCGAATTTGTGAACTTACACACACACACACACACACACACACACACACACACACACACACACGCGCTGAATAAAATAGGTAGTACATTCATTGCTGACAAATACAAGAACAGCTTCAGAATCTGAACAAGGGCATTTAGATCAGCGTACATAAGACCAGTACTGGAGTACGCAGCGCCAGCATGGATCCTGCATCTCATCAAACTGCAGAAAGTTGGCTACAAGTCTGGCCCCAGAACTAGAGTCCCGGGACGCAAGCAAGGTTAAGAGAGCAAGATTATTTAAAGACTGGAGAACCAGAACTGCGATAATTGGTTTTGAAAACCGACTGCTTGAAGAATTGAGACATTTCCTGCTTTGTACTGGACTGATGAAGCTACTGTGTGGCGAAACGTTTCTTCAATAAAGATTCCCGTATGTTGCATAAGTGTCTCAATTCTTCAAGCCGTCGGTTTTCAAAATCATTTATCACATCTGTCAGACACTGCAACATCATGGGATTTGATACAAAGAATTCTTCAACACTTGTCCAACCTTTGGACGATGACCTACTTACACTAGTGGATGGTTCCACTGTGATCCCGCCTCCTCCTGCTTCCACTCACCTGACTACAGTATATAAGTCACTTCTCCAGCCATATGCTATACTTTCTACAAGATTGAGAAACTGAACACATCGATTCCACGCTGAGGGACTGGTTACCTCAACTCCTCCTCTCCTTACACCTTCCTGCTTTGTACTGGACTGATGAAGCCACTGTGTGGCGAAACGTTTCTTCAATAAAGATTCCCATATGTTGCATATGTCTCAATTCTTCAGAACCAGAATTAGCGATCCCCGAGGGTCTCAACACAGGCATTCACGACAGCAACTAGACAGTTTTCAGAGTTGTGAGAAATGACATCCAGTAAGAGACGAAAGAGTATTCTTGACTAATATGCTTAACTAGAGAACCAGAGGAGACACGACCATGACGTGAAACCGAGCTCAAGATACACGGACAGGGTAGAGAGAAACCGCCTGAAGTCAGGTGAGTAGAATCAGGAGGAATCGGAGGTCACTCTTGGACAAATCCACTAATGTAAGAAGAATTTCTTATTTCGAGATCCCAATATGTTACTGTGTCTGACAGATGTAAATGGCTAAGAAAACAGCCAAGTTGTCAGACACAGCAACATTAAACTCCAGACCGTCGCGTCAGCCACTGGACCAGCTAGCCACAATAAGATTCATCCAACTAGGTATATTTCTACACCATAGGAAGGTACATCAACATCTTGGGATCTCGATACAAGAGATTCTTCTACGCCTGCCTATCCTACAGACATGACCTACTTACACTAGTGGATTTGTCCACTAGTGACCTCCGCCTCCTGCTTCTACTCACCTTTCTGCAGTATATGCGCCACTTCTCCTTCCAGCGTTTGAAAGGAGAAAAACAGAAACTAGCAGAGGTGGAAGGTGCAGGCGAGAATGTGTCACAGAGATGTCAGGAAATTCCTTTTCCTTTAGGTCTGGTCACAGATCGGGCCGCGGGGGGCGTTGACCCCCGAAACCCTCTCCAGGTATAATCCAGGTATACCTGAATGAGGAAGCGGTGTTGGCTTCAAATAAGGTAAGATATGACCCCCCAAAAAAACTGTAGGAATAGTGGGAAGAGATGGGTGTCCAGGAGCTGCGACTGTAACTCTGATCATACACTGTAGGTTTCACGGTTTTCCTATGTACATAAAAGATAAAAAAAAAAAATCGTCTTTAGTAAGCTTTTTTGGGAGTTTGTCAAGAATGAGGTAAACTATAAACCAAGTCACAGTTCAGCCCGGCATGCGCCGGGATGATTTCCTACCAAATTTTGATAATCTCCAAAAGTTTGGCAATTGCGGACGAGTGTTGACTTAAGAGTCTGGGAGCGAACTGTTGCTGAGAGAGTTTACTCTCACCAGCTGCACTCTCTCTGTTGCTGAGAGAGTTTACTCTCACCAGCTGCACTCTCTCTGTTGCTGAGAGAATTTACTCTCACCAGCTGCACTCTCTCTGTTGCTGAGAGAGTTTACTCTCACCAGCTGCACTCTCTCTGTTGCTGAGAGAGTTTACTCTCACCAGCTGCACTCTCTCTGTTGCTGAGAGAGTTTACTCTCACCAGCTACACTCTCTCTGATTCTGAGAGAGTTTTACACTCATCAGCTACACTCTGTTTGTTGCTGAGGGAGTTTACTCTTAACAGCTGCACTATCTGCTGCTGAGAGAGTTTACACTCACTAGCTACATTGGAGACATCCACTTCAGGCTGAGGGACTGATTACCTTATTCTCCTCCTCGCGTTTCACTGATCTTTGTGACAGACTGAAGATACCACTGGCTGATGGGCGATACGTTTCCTGCCTAAAAATTCCCAAGTGACGCACAGGTGACTCATTCTTCATTCTGTCAGTTGTCTAAACAAATCCATCACATATGAAGCGTTAAACCCGTGTGACTTAGAGCAAGGAGAGTTCCTCTCGCAGCCAATAGCAATACAGTAACGCTAATAATAAATGTTTTAGTAACTAAATTAATGTCTGTATAAACAACCCATTAATTTATAAGTGGATCATTACCTTATGACCCATTATGTGCCTCTGTAATGTTGAGGTACAGTTCCTGAACCCATTATGTGCCTCTGTGATGTTGAGGTACAGTCCCTGAACCCATTATGTGCCTCTGTAATGTTGAGGTACAGTCCCTGGACCCATTATGTGCCTCTGTAATGTTGAGGTACAGTCCCTGAACCCATTATGTGCCTCTGTAATGTTGAGGTACAGTCCCTGGACCCATTATGTGCCTCTGTGATGTTGAGGTACAGTTCCTGAACCCATTATGTGCCTCTGTGATGTTGAGGTACAGTTCCTGAACCCATTATGTGCCTCTATGATGTTGAGGTACAGTTCCTGAACCCATTAGGTGCCTCTATGATGTTGAGGTACAGTTCCTGAACCCATTATGTGCCTCTATGATGTTGAGGTACAGTTCCTGAACCCATTAGGTGCCTCTATGATGTTGAGGTACAGTTCCTGAACCCATTATGTGCCTCTATGATGTTGAGGTACAGTTCCTGAACCCATTATGTGCCTGTGTAACTTCTTCACCGCCCACAGCCTGGGTATGGTGTGACTACCACTCGCAGGAAGTGTTTGGGTAACAAAGTAATTCAGCTGCAGTAGTTACACTACACTCAACCATACAGAGCAGTTGTATACTACAAACCACAAGTTACAATAGGAGAGAATAAAATAACGTCACGATGCGCATGTCACAGATTGACCTAGAGCTACAACACAACACTTGACTTGTACAGGATAGTGATTGGAGATATTCTGTATACGTTGCACATATACTTGTAGAAATAAAGATTATTATTATTATTATTATTATTATTATTATTATTATTATTATTATTATTGTTGTTGATGTTGTTGTTGTTGTTGTTGTTGTTGTTGTTGTTGTTGTTGTTGTTGTTGTTAGAGAGTTTAAGACTAAGAAATCGTTTCTCATATATTCACAGCGAAGCGTTAAACCAGTAGAGATCTTTGTTACGAGGGATATGGATAGCCCCACTTCCTTAAATTAAGATTCCTTCACCGCCATCAACACACCTCTCTTGAACTGACGTGATCTTAAAAATCAAGACACAAGAGGAGAGACGGAAGATGCAAACATGTCTTGAACTCAAATTAAGCTGTTATGAACATGTGTCGTTAAACAGAAAACTGGACGAGGAGCCCGAACGGTAGCGCTACGTGGATGTCAATTGAAGGACCGCTGTTCGAGCCCCTCATTCACCCTTCTGTTTATTCATATGTCTTGAAGATTCACTTGATTCAGTAGAACACACGATGAGTGATGAGGGGGGGGGACCTTGACTAACCCATCCCAGACACAATGATATGGAGAGAAGGGATAGAGGATAGACGGATGGGGGACTCGCCTATACACGAGCCTGAAGTTGATCTATCCCCACAGTGAACCAACATAACACGACACAAAAGAGATAGGTTGAGATAGAGAATAAATACAGCCAATACTCATCTCCGGATAGCTCTAGCCTCTGTACGAAGCAAAATAAGGAAAAAATCACTATAGAAAGCCCTTGGTCGGGAAAAAGGATAGATGACAGCAGGACTCACCTGAACACGAGCCTCGGATAGGTCTAGCCTCATAGCAAGCTCCTCCCTGGTGAACACATCTGGGTACTGTGTCTTCTCGAAGGCCCGCTCCAGCTGGTGCAGCTGGTAGGTGGTGAAGGTGGTTCGTGAGCGGCGGACCTGCGGACGAGGGGCACCAGTACTCGTCAGCTTCAAGAGAGAAGAGGGAACAAGACCTGTAGTCAGGTCTGGGTTATCCATGAGGCACAAATGGGCACAGTGACCCCGAAATTTTTTTTTTTAGGCCTCAACATTTCTCAGATGAATCAGAAATGAGAATTCTTGTAACACTTAATTAAGTGACTTAATTACTTTATCATATCCTTTTAAATAATGAACCTACAGATATTAAAGTATGTTTACACATGTTAACACATGTTTTATAATATATCTTTAAACATCAAAGAATACACACACACACACACACACACACACACACACACACACACACACACACACACACACACACTCCATCACTGCCTCTTACTGTTAAAAACTTGCAGTTGAAATATTTAATGGTAATATAGTGTGCTATACCACACACATAGTGAGGTACAGTGGGTAACAATGGGAGGGACGAGATTCTAGGTATTCCGTAAAATGGTTGGCAAGTACAGGTCACAGAGGAGAGCCCATGACAGTACCAAACCTTTGTGAAGAGTAGTTAAGTTTGATAGAAAAATAAGTATTAGTGGGGTTATAGTGTGGTGGTGTAGTAGTGTGGTGGTGCAGTAAAGTAGTGGTGTAGTAGTGTGGTAGTGCAGTAGTGTGGTAGTGTAGTAGTGTGGTGGTGTAGTAGTGTGGTGGTGTAATAGTGTGGTGGTGTAGTAGTGTGGTAGTGCAGTAGTGTGGTGGTGTAGTAGTGTGGTGGTGTAGTAGTGTGGTGGTGTAGTAGTGTGGTGGTGTAGTAGTGTGGTGGTGTAGTAGTGTGGTGGTGTAGTAGTGTGGTGGCGTAGTAGTGTGGTGGTGTAGTAGTGTGGTGGTGTAGTAGTGTGGTGGTGTAGTAGTGTGGTGGTGTAGTAGTGTGGTGGTGTAGTAGTGTGGTGGTGTAGTAGTGTGGTAGTGCAGTAGTGTGGTAGTGTAGTAGTGTGGTGGTGTATTAGTGTGGTGGTGTAGTAGTGTGGTGGTGTAGTAAAGTGATGGTGTAGTAGTGTGGTGGTGTAGCAGTGTGGTGGTGTAGTAGTGTGGTGGTGCAGTAGTGTGGTGGTGCAGTAGTGTGGTGGTGTAGTAGTGTGGTGGTGTAGTAGTGTGGTGGTGTAGTAGTGTGGTAGTGTAGTAGTGTGGTAGTGTAGTAGTGTGGTGGTGTAATAGTGTGGTGGTGTAGTAGTGTGGTGGTGTAGTAGTGTGGTGGTGTAGTAGTGTGGTGGTGTAGTAGTGTGGTAGTGTAGTAGTGTGGTGGTGTAGTAGTGTAGTGGTGTAGAAGTGTGGTAGTGTAGTAGTGTGGTGGTGTAGTAGTGTGGCGGTGTAATAGTGTGGTGGTGTAGTAGTGTGGTGGTGTAGTAGTGTGGTGGTGTAGTAGTGTGGTAGTGTAGTAGTGTGGTGGTGTAGTACTGTGGTGGTGTAGAAGTGTGGTAGTGTAGTAGTGTGGTGGTGTAGTAGTGTGGCGGTGTAGTAGTATGGTAGTGTAGTAGTGTGGTAGTGTAGTAGTGTGGTGGTGTAGTAGTGTGGTGGTGTAGTAGTGTGGTAGTGTAGTAGTGTGGTGGTGTAGTAGTGTGGTAGTGTAGTAGTGTGGTGGTGTAGTAGTGTGGTGGTGTAGTAGTGTGGTAGTGTAGTAGTGTGGTGGTGTAGTAGTGTGGTAGTGTAGTAGTGTGGTGGTGTAGTAGTGCGGTGGTGTAGTAGTGTGGTAGTGTAGTAGTGTGGTGGTGTAGTAGTGTGGTAGTGTAGTAGTTGTGGTGGTGTAGTAGTGTGGTAGTGTGGTGGTGTAGTAGTGTGGTAGTGTAGTAGTGTGGTGGTGTAGTAGTGTGGTGGTGTAGTAGTGTGGTAGTGTAGTAGTGTGTGGTGTAGTATGTGGTAGTGTAGTAGTGTGGTGTGTAGTAGTGTCGTGGTGTAGTAGTGTGGTAGTGTAGTAGTGTGGTGTGTATAGTGTGGTAGAGTGTAGTAGTGTGGTGTGTAGTTAGTGTGAGGTGTGTAGTAGTAGTAGTGGTGTGTAGTAGTGTGGTAGTGTAGTAGTGTGGTGGGTAGTATGTAGTTGTTGTGTAGTAGTGTGGTAGTGTAGTAGTGTGGTGGTGTATTTGTGTGGTAGTGTAGTAGTGTGGTGGTGTAGTAGTGTGTAGTGTAGTAGTGTGGTGTGTAGTAGTGTGGTAATATAGTAGTGTGGTGGTGTAGTAGTGTGGTAGTGTAGTAGTGTGGTGGTGTAGTAGTGTGGTAATATAGTAGTGTGGTGGTGTAGTAGTGTGGTAGTGTAGTATGTGGTGGTGTAGTAGTGTGGTATATAGTAGTGTGGTGGTGTAGCAGTGTGGTAGTGTAGTAGTGTGGTAGTGGGAGTATGTGGTGGTGTAGTAGTTGGTGGTGTAGCAGTGTGGTGGTGTAGTAGTGTGGTAGTGTAGTAGCGTGGTAAGTTAGTAGTGTGGTAATATAGTATGTGGTGGTGTAGTAATGTGGTGGGTGTGGTAGTGTGATAATATAGTAGTGTGGTAGTGTAGTAGTGTGGTGGTGTAGTAGTGTGGTAATATAGTAGTGTGGTGGTGTAGTAGTGTTGTAGTGTAGTAGAGTGGTGGTGTAGTAGTGTGGTAATATAGTAGTGTGGTAGTGTAGTAGTGTGGTGGTGTAGTAGTGTGGTAATTAGTAGTGTGGTGGTGTAGTAGTGTTGTAGTGTAGTAAGTGGTGGTGTAGTAGTGTGTAATATAGTAGTGTGGTAGTGTAGTAGTGTGAGTGTGTTAGTAGTGTGGTGGTGTATAGTAGTGTGTGGTGTAGTCAAGGTAACTCCTCACCTTCCGTGGCTTGTCGGGGTCGAAGGGATCGTTGTGTTGGTCCGGACACTCAGGGGAGGTGGTGGAATCCCCATCACCACGAGGGGATACCTCAGGGCTGCCTACTCCCACCCCGGAGTCTGAAAGATATCACAAAACAAGATCGCAAATGAACTCGCTGAATAATAATGAATATAATAATAATAATAATAATAATAATAATAATAATAATAAATAATAATAATAATAATAATAATAATAATAATAATAATAATAATAATAATAATAATAATATTCTCATACACAGCATACATTTAATTAATAACAACCCTCCTAAGTGACAAGGAGTAATGCAGAAAAAAAGAATGTGGAATGCCTACAACAATCCTGTACGATATTATATATATATATATATATATATATATATATATATATATATATATATATATATATATATATATATATATATATATAATATATATATCGTACCGAACAGGTAAAACTGGCCAATTAGCAAGAACTCATTTAAAATTAATTCCTTTCTAAAATTTTCTCTCATACGTTGAAAGATATATTTTTTTCATTTATGTTAATGTAAAAATTAATAATTTTGTAACTCCAGACTAAATACATTTTAGATAAGTTTACAATAATTTAATAATATACAAACACAATGAAATACCTTTTTTTTCGTTGGGTTCAGAATGATTTTTTGGAAATTATTGCATACACAAACTTTCGCTTGCCTATTCGGCAAGAAGAGAATTGCTATAGAGGCCAAACTCGCAAGTTATATATATATATATATATATATATATATATATATATAATATATATATTTATATATATAATTATATATATATATATATATATAATATATATATATATATATATATATATATATATATATATATATATATATATATATATATATATATATATATATGTCGTGCCGAATATGTAAAACTGGTCAATTAGCAAGAACTCATTTAAAATTAAGTCCTTTCTGGAATTTTCTCTTATACGTTTAAAGATATATTTTTTTCATTAATGTTAATGTAAAAATTTTTAATTTTGCACCAAAAGAATCTTAGAAAACTTACCTAACCTTATTATAAGAAAAGCAATTTATTTTAGCCTAACCCAACTAAATATATTTTAAATACGTTTACAATAATTTAATACTAAACAAACACAATCAAATATATTTTTTTCGTTAGGTTCAGAATGATTTTGGCGAAATTATTGCATACACAAATTTTCACTTGTCCTATATGGCAAGATGAGCGTAGCTATTTAAGCCAAGATGGCAAGTTCTGCCTATTCGGCACGACATATATATATATATATATATATATATTATATATATATATATATATATTATATATAATATATATATATATATATATATATATATATATATATGTCGTGCCGAATATGTAAAACTGGTCAGTTAGCAAGAACTCATTTAAAATTAAGTCCTTTCTAAAATTTTCTCTTATACGTTTAAAGATATATTTTTTTCATTAATGTTGATGTAAAAATTTTTAATTTTGCACCAAAAGGAACTTAGAAAACTTACCTAACCTTATTATAACAAGAACAATTTATTTTAGCCTAACCCAACAAAATATATTTTAGATTTGTTTACAATAATTTAATACTAAACAAACACAGTGAAATATATTTTTTTCGTTAGGTTCAGAATGATTTTGGTGAAATTATTGCATACACAAATTTTCACTTGTCCTATATGGCAAGATGAACGTTGCTATTTAAGCCAAGATCGCAAGTTCTGCCTATTCGGCACGACATTATATATTTTTATATATATATATATATATATATATATATATATATATATATATATATATATATATATATATATATATATATATATATATATATATATATATATATATATATATAATATATATATATATATATATATATATATATATATATTATATATATATATGCAAAACAACCACTATGAAAGAAATAGAGAAATTCCAAGCGCTTTCGTGACTACTCACATTATCAAGGATAATGTGAGTAGTCACGAAAGCGCTTGGAATTTCTCTGTTTCTTTCATAGTGGTTGTTTTGCATATTTTGAAATCACCTGTTTACTGTGATCTTATTGCATATATATATATATATATTATATATATATATATATATATATATATATTATATAATATATATATATATATATATATATATATATAATATATATATAATAATATATATATATATATATATATATATATATATATATATATATATATATATATATATATATTATATATATATATATATATATTATATATATATAATATATAACGAGGTGTCGTGAGATGAGGACTTATGTAAATTCAGAAGAATGTGTGGCAGGGGTTCCAGCAGCTTACTTGGTCCTGCTTGATGGCGTCTGTGGTGTGAATTAGAGATTATTTACGACATTTCCCTCAAATTCCGTTTTCTTTACGAATGACCTGACTTCCTGTTCCATCTATGTGGTGTGAATCTGTGTTAAACTGTATAACAAAGTCACTGTGATTGCTGTTCTTGCTGTGGCGCACAGGTTTGTGATCACATACCGTAGAAATATATTTAATTCAAATCGCTAATTCGGTGTTAAAAATCAAAATCAATGTAAATAAATAATGTGGATATAGACAAATAACCTGCACATAGAGAGGAGCTTAACGACAATGTTTGGGTCTGACTTGGATCATTTACAAAGCCACACTAACAGAAAAGTGTAAATCCCGTGTAGTCTCGCACATGTAAATATTATTGCAACTGCTACAAGGGATGGTGTAGACAGCTGCAACTTTCTTGCAACGGACGTTAGGCTCTCTAGACATTTCGTTAATAGTGGTGGAAGTGACGGTGCCCCGTGATGTAACTCGTTTTCTTAAAAAAAAAAAAAAAAAAGACTTAGAAGGTTTCTAGAGTACAATGGACGTAAGGGAAATTAAATAGCAATTACTCATGATATAGGCCTCTCATAGTGTTCAATAAATTATGGGGTTGATCTTTTACGATCCCGTAAGACGGCGGTCGCAAGGTATCGTTAGCTGGGGGAAGATGTCTCCCGTCTGGAACTCGCAACTGCATATTCCTTGAGCCTTCGTGAGTGGCGAGGAATTAGACACATGTGCGACGTCTGGGTATCTTTATTTGTAGACGTTTCGCCCTCCAGTGTCTGTATCAATACAAATTCAAGGACATAATGTGATGACTGTAGAACTGTATACCAAAGATGAGGTAATCTGTCCCTCAGTCTTGGAGATGAAGAGCATCGTAGTTGGTACTGTTTACCAGCCACAAGCTGAAGGACTGATTACCTCGTCTTCTGTATATAGTCCAACAGTCTTCCCATTATATCCTTGAATTTGTACTGATAAAGCCACTGGATGGAGGAACGTCTAAAAAAATTACCCAGCTGTTATACATGTGTCTAATTCTTCATTTTGTCGGTATTGTCTACCATTCGTATATAATGAGTGTCAGTATTAACCAGAATGAGATCATTCTGGTCAGTGTAGCTGGTGTCAGTGTAGCTGGTGTCATTGTAGCTGGTGTCAGTGTAGCTGGTGTCAGTGTAGCTGGTGTCAGTGTAGCTGGTGTCAGTGTAGCTGGTGTCAGTGTAGCTGGTGTCAGTATAGTTGGTGTCAGTGTAGCTGGTGTCAGTGTAGCTGGTGTCAGTGTAGCTGGTGTCAGTGCAGCTGGTGTCAGTGTAGCTGGTGTCAGTATAGTTGGTGTCAGTGTAGCTGGTGTCAGTGTAGTTGGTGTCAGTGTAGTTGGTGTCAGTGCAGCTGGTGTCAGTGTAGCTGGTGTCAGTGTAGCTGGTGTCAGTGTAGCTGGTGTCAGTGTAGCTGGTCGTATCTGCGATGACTCGTCCAGTTCTCATCTGCTGACCGATTTAAAGCTCCTTTAACACTGTTAGGAGATGATCCTGTGGCAGTGTAGGATGGGGCGCGGGGCAGTGTGTTAACACACTGGTTGAAGAGGGGCGTTGCAAGGTGATGGCCGGGAAGGGGCGGTGTTAGACGGAGCGGAGGGGGGTAGAGTAGTGCTAGGCGAGGCTGGGCGGTGCTAGGCAGGGCAGGGCGGGGCGGTGCTAGGCAGGGGCGGGCCAGCACACAAGAGCTGGGTGGTGACGGTTACACAGCGTCTCCGCTGCTGGTAATCCTTCATTTGGCGGCCAGCCTAGCGTGAACTGATGGCGGGTGACGCTAAGCCACCATGGAGGTGTTGGTGAGGTGAGCGCTGCCGCCGCCGTCGCCGCCACGCCACCGCCACCGTCGCCGCCGCCGCCGCCGCCACGCCTCCAGTCATATACCCATCTCTAACTTCAAGAGTAATATTTCCCTACCGTCTGTCGCAACACCAGTACCACTGTTGCTACTAGTACGACCACTACCACTACTACTACTATTGCTACAACTACCACTACTACTACTACTACTACTGTTACTACTGCTACTAGGAAAGAACGTCTAGGGTCAGTAGTTGTGAACTAGCATACTACCTTCTTTTCATTATAAGGCTATTGTAACAGTGACTACCAGACCAACATTCCTAGCAGTGACTACCAGACAACATTCCTAGCAGTGACTACCAGACAACATTCCTAGCAGTGACTACCAGACAACATTCCTAGCAGTGACTACCAGACAACATTCCTAGCAGTGACTACCATACCAACATTCCTAGCAGTGACTACCAGACCAACATTCCTAGCAGTGACTACCAGACAACATTCCTAGCAGTGACTACCAGACAACATTCCTAGCAGTGACTACCAGACAACATTCCTAGCAGTGACTACCATACCAACATTCCTAGCAGTGACTACCAGACCAACATTCCTAGCAGTGACTACCAGACAACATTCCTAGCAGTGACTACCAGACAACATTCCTAGAAGTGACTACCAGACAACATTCCTAGCAGTGACTACCAGTACAACATTCCTAGCAGTGACTACCATACCAACATTCCTAGCAGTGACTACCAGACCAACATTCCTAGCAGTGACTACCAGACAACATTCCTAGCAGTGACTACCAGACAACATTCCTAGCAGTGGCTACCAGACAACATTCCTAGCAGTGACTACCAGACCA